CCCCCGCGTTGCGGGAGGCGGGTGGTGGCAGCGAGCAGGGCGGGCGTGCGCACAGGCCGCGACTGCGCCCGGGGGTCTGCCCTGGGGAGAGCGCGCTCCGTGCAGCATTTCCTGTTCTCTTCCCTGCGCGGCTGCGCTCGGGCCTTTGGCTTGACCCAGCCTGCCCGACTATGGCTTCAGCTTTGGAAGAGCTACGGAAAGATTTAGAAGAGGTGAAGGTGTTGCTGGAAAAACCACTAGGAAAAGAGTACATGATGCCCTCACAACGGAAAAATCCAAGATTGAAACAGAAATCAAGAACAAGATGCAACAGAAATCACAGAGAAAAGCAGAACTCCTTGACAACGAAAAGCCAGCCCCTCTTGTTGCTTCCATTGCAATGGGATATATACACAGTGAAAATCACTAATTACAGAGGCATCACAGTCAGGCAAGTTTGTGAAAATCTGTATCACCTTAACTGGAGTTTATCAAGTTCCCACCAAAAATGTGGAGGTGCATTTCACAGAGAGGTCATTGGATCTGCTGGTAAAGAATCTGAATGGGAAGAGTTACTTCACGATTGTGAACAATCTCTTGAAACTCATCTCTGTGGAAGGCAGTTCAAAAAAAGTCAAGACTGTTACAGTTCTTCCCTTATGTAGAAAGCAAGCAGAAAACACAAGGTGAGACTACCTGACTGAGGCTGAAAAAGAGCAAAGAAAAAAGAAAAGCCCTCCTATGTCACTGAAACAGATCCTAGTGAGGGATTGATGAATGTTCTAAAGAAAATTTATGAAGATAGAGATGATGATATGAAGCAAACCATGAATAAAGCCTGGGTGGAATCGAAGAGAAAAGCAAGCCAAAGGGGACACAGAATTTTGAGACTTTGAAGTCTGTTTGGGAACTGTGATGTGGAAATACTGATGTTTCCTATAAGGGAATGTTGGTGAGCTACACATAAATTTGACAGATAACTATTTACACAGCCTTCTTCTAAGTAAATGCAACAAATTCTCCATTTCCTACTGGAGGATTTATTTAAATAAAACATGCTTATTAAACATTTCCTACAAAGATGGTTTTATTAGTACCCTGATCATTTTGTTCAAGAAAGAGTTATATTGCAGTCTCATGTGAAATGTAAAAAGTCTTGCCTAATGAAAATGCTACTTTGTGTGTATTTTTGTTCAGCTAAGAGGCAAAAAACAAAAGTATTTGCTTGGCTTTTAGTTACTGACATCAGCTCCTAACAATGTAAGGATAAGTAAGAGTAAAATCTGAATTTTTGCATAAAATGCAAATCTCTACCTGCACTTGAAGGTTGCTGTAGAGAGGCTAATCCCTTATTACCAGCTTAAACAATGCATATGCACTAATAATACAATCACAAATATTTTTATTTAGATTTAAATATATTTGTTTATGAACATAGAATAGAAACTAAATCTAAACTTAACAAGCATAAACATCTTTGTATAGTACCAATTAGTAAGTTTTGCCATGGATCATATGGCTTACAGAAGTAATGACTATAAAGCAAAAAATAATTAATTTGAAAGTCCGTCTTATGTCCATCTTATTCCTATGTTCAATAAAGTTTAGTTTTTCTTTTGTTAAAAAAAATTGGTGAACAGGTAGTGGCTGGTCAGAAATGGGAAATGTGGTCAATGAGAGAGGTCTCTGCCATCCTCCCCTTCATCTATTCCATTTTCCCAATTCTCTAGGGGGAGGCTACCTTTTGGGTCAGGACAGGCTACTATGACGATGTCAGATGGCTGATGGGGGTTTTCAGAAAATACAGATCTCACTAGTAGCTGGAGAATATAGTTACCTACTCTGATGGTTAATTTTATGTGTTAACTTGGCTTGACCACAGTCTCCACATATTTGGTCCAATATTATTATGGATGATTCTGTGAAGATGTTTTTTGGATAAAGTTAACATTTAAATTGGTAGACCAAAGCAGATTACCCTCTATAATTTGCGTGGCCCTCATCCAGTCAGCTGAAGGCCTTAATAGAACAAAGATTGACCTCCCCCTGAGCAAGAAGTAATTCTGCCAGCAGACTGCATTTGGACTCTAACTGCAAATCTTCCCTGGATTTCCAGACTGCCAGCCTACCCTGCAGATTTAGGATTCATCAAGCCACCACAATCTGTGAGCCAATTCCTTAAAATAAATCTCTGTCGCTACACACACTCACACACACACACACACACACACACACACACACGCACATCCTGTTGTTTTTGCTCTCTAGAGCAGCAGTCCCCAACCTTTTTGGCACCAGGGACCGGTTTCATGGAAGACAATTTTTCCACGGACAGGGGTGAGGGGGAGGGGGATGGTTTTGGGATGATACCAATGCATTACATTTATTGTGTAGTCAAATCTCTCCGCTAATGATAATCTGTATTTGCAGCCACTCCTCAGCACTAGCCTCACTGCCTCAGCTCCACCTCAGATCATCAGGCATTAGATTCTCATAAGGGCGAGCAACCTAGATCCCTCGCATGCACGGTTTACAGTAGGGTTTGTGCTGCTAGGAGAATCTAATGCTCCTGCTGATCGGACAGGAGGAGCAGCTTATGTGGTGATGGGAGTGATAGGGAGCAGCTGCAAATACAGATGAAGCTTCCTCCCCAACCCTCACCTCCTGCTGTGCAGCCAGGTTCCTAACAGGCCATGGACCAATAGTGGTCCTCTGCCCAGGGGTTGGGGTCCACAGCTCTAGAGAACCCTGGCACTTGTGAAGATGGTAGATGATGGGGACTTTCTCACCATTAGCTGAAGAATATGATTATCTACATGGTGAGAATTGAATATTCTAGAAAAATCTGCTCTCTTAATCTCTTGTCTAGCACTCTGCAGCATGGGTTGAAGTTAGGGGTAACCTAACTCAGTCGATCTGGCTTCATTTCCCTGAGATATTATCTTGGTTCTGCCCATCCCTGTGTGTTGGCTCCATTCTCAAGAATGGTAGCAAAATACCATTTTTAGTTTCAGGCCGCACACAAAAAAACTGGAAGAGAAAACTGCTTCAGTCCTAGTACTCTAAGAAATTCACCCTGATTAAATTGTCCATTGCTGAGACTAGGACTTTGGCTTGGGAAATGGAACTTCCTATTTATATTAAGATAATCCCTGAGATGGGGGTGAAATCAGCTTCCCCTAATGAATGGAATCAAGGGGGCTAAATGGATACATGAATAAAATCCCGGTTCTGTTCTGTTAAGAAGGTGAAGGAGGGGGAATGGATGCTGGGTAGGCAACCAGTAATGTCCACCAGACACTTACCTAGTATCAGCAATTGATTTATCACAACACAACACTCAAGTGATGATACTCAAATGAAAACTAGTGCCAAGAAACTGATAAGGAATAGTGGATAAGGAATCCCTGATAAGGGATTATGGTAAATAGGAATAACATGATCCATTAATAAAAGGGGAAGCTGCTACTCTGCTCTAGGTAATGTGACCATTCAAGAATATAGAATGGCTAGATCTTCAACCTTTTCAAAAGAAGTTGATAATCTGGATTTTTACATAAAATATCTGTATTTTAAATGTTGGCAACTAAGTCAATTTTTGTTCTTGTTTGTAAGCACACAGGACAGCCAATACTGTCCAAAATAAAAGCATATTTCTTGGCCAAATACAGTCTGAACCTCTAGTTTACTTTGGTCTAGAACCATTGCTTGCCATTCAGTGGTTCTGTGGCTGCAAGGCTTGCTACAAGTAGAGCAGCCAAAGGAGGGAGATCAAAGGTGAGTGTCTTTGTTTCATATATGCTTTTCAGCAGGTGGATCCCCAAACATGGGTTCACAGGCTTCTGCATCACCAAACGAAACGTGAAGTCCATTTGGAGCCAGTTAATTATTTCCAGGTTAGGAAAGGTGTTCTAGTACCAGGCACCATGAACTCTTGTTTTCCCAGTGTTCACTGTCTTACTTCATTTATAGGTAAGACCTAGCAGTTACAGGGACCAAAGTCATCACACTATTAGAAATCCAACATGGATTGATTTTTTCCCAAAGATGCATAAATTCCATGTTTTTAAAAAGATATAGCAATCATTCTTTTATTTCTAGACTTTTGTCTGTTACCTGATGCCATCACAGCTCTGCAAGGCATACAGATATTGATAGGTTAGATTGATTATCTTCCTATCGTTAAAACACATTTAGTTTAACTGAATGGAAAATGGCAGTTGGTGATTAAACAAACAAAAACAATGCTTAATTAGCTTAAAATAGACTAGTATTGAAGTCAGAGACTAATTGATTTGCATTTCTTATCATTTCCCTGGTCAATTTCTTGTTCCCTAAAAGCACAAAGCACAAGAACGGTAGTTGTCAATCCTATTTACACATTAGAATCTAGAGGGTGGAGATGGGATGGGATGTGAGGAACATTTTTTTTTCAAGCGCCTTTATCCAGGCCCTACTCTACAGGGACCAAAACTCCCCAGGTGATTATAACGAGTAGACAGAGCTGAATACAGTTCCTTGTAAGAAAATTCTACAAGATCTGAAATCCATCAAATCCTTTAGATTCTCTCCAGAACTCTTCATTTTAGCACGAAAGGGCTCTAAGTAACATTCTCATGAGGTATCTTGGGCTAGTTTTTTCCTGCTCAAAGACTGACGGGACCATCCGCCACACTGTAGTCAGAACGAGTCTCGGAAGATCCAATGACAAGCAGCAGAATAAGGCATTTTATCTCTGTAGAAACACCAGATCGCAGTAGCAACCGCCACCAAGTCAACAAAAGTCAGATGTGCCCCGGCCCGGCGTAAGCGAGGCCCGGATACTCTCGGAGGTTTTAGCCGGGAGCGGCTCCTGCCCCTCCCAAGCATAGCTAGCGCAGCGGCACTTTCTCCGGCCGCTCGCGCCCTCGCCTCACGTCACTTCCGCCCGGCGAGGTCTGCATCGGGCCAAGTTGAAGCGACTTCCTCTTTTCTTTCCCTTCTTCCTCTCCCTGGTCCCGCCTCCCGGAAGCTTTGTCCTGTCTTCCCCGCGGGTCAGGGGTGAGAAGCAACACGGCTGCGCTGGCCTTGGTGAGCAACTGCTGCGCGTTCTGCTTAGCGGCGGCCGAGTTAAAAGAACCCAGGTTAGATCACTGCCTAGGGCGTGACGGGACTGTACGGGCCCTCGGGAATCTCTCCCTCTCCAGTTCTGGGGCTCCCGTGTCCTGGGCCTGCAACTAGCCTCGCTGAGGTTGGGGTCCTTGGCTCCTGGTGAATGGGATTGCGGCCCTTGTCCCGCTTCTGTCTCCTCTCTTTCCAGGCGAGGTCCTGCTCAGGTTGTTGAGACCGATACGCCTTTCTTGGAGTTTGAATTGGAAGCAGAGTCGTCTTGTAGTCTCCTTGGTGGCAGGGTCGTAGTCTGGGTAGTGGCAGGGTTGCTTCCTAAAGAAGCCAAAGTGCTTTAGCATCCGTTCCGCCTCCTTTGAGCTCCGAAACCCTGGGAGGCAGATAGGGCAGATGAAAAATATATTCGCCTCCATTGCACAGATGAAGAGACCGAAGTGCTTGGAGAACTCGTACTCTTTCAAGGCAACACGGCTAGCTAAGAGGTAGAACTGGGGATTCACACCCACATCTAACTTACCTAGGCTTGCACAAAATAGTTGGGAGAGCATTTGGAAATAGGGGAGACACTTCAAACGTTAAAAAGAGAGCTGGTGTTTCAGAATGCTTTGTTTATGTCCAGCGTTGTGCTAAGTTTTTTCTATAATTATATCATCCAATCCTGTAATAAGCATACGAAGTATATACTGTAGTTACTACTGGTCTAGGTAACTGAGGCTCAGAAATGATAACTGATGTGTCGTGTATTAATGGCTTAGTAGGCATTTCCCAGATCTCTTTCAGTTTTATGACTCTTCCAACACTGTAGGATGAATATCTCATAATCAAACTGTCCTTTTCTGATTTCAGCATTTTAGGAAGAGAGATTCCTGAAAGTTATTCTTGGTCTCTTCACCCTTTGCCCATTGTCGTATTTCTTATCAGCATCCTATTTAGAAATCTATAGTCATGTGAATTCTGCTTTGATGCTTACTCCACAATTTAGTTTTTTCCTCTCCAAGAAGAGTTTGGGGATGGTGGTATTAGTGTAGAATTAATGGATCCAGGTTAAAGGGTTAGCTGGAAAAAATTGCTAGATTTTTTATCTTATATGGTGTCTCTTTTTTTTTTTTTTCTGTTTGTGTGTTTTCTCTGTGTGAGCTTTTTTTTTTGCTTTTTTTTCCTCCAGGAAAACAGCTATCATCTTATGCCAAGATGTCAGGAATTGGAAATAAAAGAGCAGCGGGAGAGCCGGGCACGTCCATGCCTCCGGAGAAGAAGACAGCTGTTGAAGATTCAGGGACCACAGTGGAAACAATTAAGCTAGGGGGTGTCTCTTCAATGGTATGAGGAAACAATGACATGAAAGTGTGCTTTTCTTCTGTCAGTTGCAACCTGAAACTAAAAATTTATCGAAGCCTTCTGGAATGAGGGGAAGCCATTTGCAAAGAAGAGGGAAATAAAACAGGCCAAAAGTAGGTGAAATGATATGGTCAGTTCTGGAGGAGAGGTAGATTGATATTTGATCTTTGTTTTCAAGGTGTGCTTATATTCTTTTGAGAGTCTGGTGCCTGATCCAACATTAACTATAAGTATTTAGTAGTGGGAAGATGGACATTCATTTTACATTGCCTGAAAAATTCCAGTGTCAGATTCTAAGAGGCAGTGTAGCAAAATCATTGAGAGTGTGTGGTGAAGGATGAAAGTCTGAGACCAGACTGCCTGGGGTTGACTTTCAGCTGTAGCACTTCTAGCCGCAGGGCCTTGTATCTTCCTGTGTCTCTGTTTTCTTATCTGTAAAATATAATTAAAGTACCTCCCACATTAGGTTTTGTGAGGATGACATGAAACTCCCTGTCAAGGGCTAAAACTTTGCCTTTAGCATAGTAATTATTCAGTAAATATGAGCTATTAATAGTTTTTGGGCTAGGTAATGTAATGGTGAATAAAATAGATATTATCCTTGCTCTTAGGGAGGTGACAGTCTCATTAGGGTATTATACACCAAAAGCTCATAGTAATGTTATGTATCCATTAGGCATTAGAAGCTTACAGGTTTTCATCTAGATCAAGATTCTGCTTTTCGGAACTCTGCTTTGGGAATATGATGTTAAAATACTTTACATTTTAATAGCTTACACAACCACATCTATTACTTATTTGATTTTGAGGCTAAGGTTTAGGGAGGTTGATTTTTTTTCAGAGTTAGAATAATAGGAAAATTCATAATAAATTGTTGATGAAGTGCCATTTCTGAGGTTGTCTGGGCTTCTAGTACTCTATACTGCTGCCAGGAGGTGATTTTGTCTTAGCACTGCCTCCAGTCATGCACTCCAAAGGCGTTTATTCACTTAGTAAATACAGACATTTGTTGAACATATCTTATTTGCTGGCCACTGTGCTTTATACTGAGGAAAGCCCCTAGACTTCAGTTTGTAGTGTGGCACTGACAAAGGAATAGACTGTTAGAGTGGGGTATGTGATGTTCATAGGGATAAGCACGTACTCTATGGGAAGCACGTAGTACATATCTCAGTTTGGACTTTATCCAGAATATCAGTGAGAAGCCATTGGACTGACTTAAGTAGGGGAGTAACATGTTCTGATTTCTATTTGAAGAATAGACTATAGAGGAGGGTTATAAGCAGGAGTCCAGTTAGCGGAATTGTTCCCTGACTCTTTGTCACCTCCTTTCCCCCCTTCAACCCCACCTCTCCAAAGGTGGGGATCTGAGACATGTATTCACTGATCCCTGCCCCAGTTGTTGAAGGTTGCCTTTCAAGGCAATAACTCCTGTGCATTTTGAGGTTGCTGTAATGAATCAGCTGAGATTGTGGGACAGAAAAACTAAGAGACTCACAAAGTACATTTGAAGTTGGAACACTGGCAGTGTGAATAGAGCTGTCCACCACAACTGTGCTGAAATCTGGAAGGCCGACAAGATGTGGCACAAAAGTGTTTGCTGCAGGAGACTTTTGCAGTAATCCTAATGAGGGATCATGATGGCTTGGACCACCGTGGAGGTAGCATTGACAAGATTTGCTGATGGACTGGATGAAACATACGAGACATAGCAGGGAGGATCACCTTAGGATTTGGAGTTTTTATTTACTGAGCTAGGGAGGTATGGTATATGAGAGGAGCAGATTTTTGGGAGCCATGGAGAGTTAATCATGAGTGTGGTTTGGTTTTGAACATGTAAGTTTGAGATGTTAATAATGAGATATCAGTGCTAAAGCTGTCCATATGGGAATCATCATTTCATAAATCATATTTAAATCCATGAGACTAGAGACTCTCCCTTAAGGAATAAGCATAGATACAGAAGAGGTCTGAGGACAGAGACTTGGTACACCGCAATATTTTCATGTCAAGGTGATGAGAAGGGCCTAATCAAAGATACAAAAAAAGAGGGACCAATCAGGTAGGAGGACAGCAAGGAAGAGTGGGGTCCCAGAAGCCAAATGAAGAAAATGTTTCAAGGAGTTTATCAGGGGCTGCTGATGGATTGAGTAAAGGGGGGATGAGATGTTATACTTAGCAACAGAGGAGAGTTCATTGGAGACTCCAGAAGACCTATGTTGTTGAAGTAGTGGGGACAGAAGCCTGATTGCAGTGAGCTTAAGAGAATATGAGAGGAAAGAAATTAGGAAAAAGAGCGTGGAAACAATGCTTTAGAGAAGTACTGTAAAATAGAACAAAGAAAATGGGGCAGTAGCCAGGCGGAAATGTGAGGTTAAGGGAAGGTTTTTGTTTGTTTGCTTTTTAAGGTAGGAGATAAGCAGCATGTTTACCTGTTGATTGAAATGATTTGGTAGAAGATAAAATTGATGATAGAGCAAAGAGGAGATAGTTACTGTGATGTCCTTGAATAGATGAGAGGGACTGTAAGGTAAATTACAAGTTGGGGAATTGGCCTTAACTAGGAGCAGGGACAGTTTATCTATAACAAGAAGAAGACAGGCAGGGGATATGGGTTCTGACGTAGGTAGGTCAGTAGCTGTGGATATGGGAGGTAGGTGTGGGTAATCTCTTATGATTGCTTCTATTTTTTTTCCCAGTGAAATCGGAAGCAAGATTCACCTGAAAGTGAGGATGGGTGAGGATGTTTTGGAGGTTTGAAGAGATAGGAGAAGGTATGAAGTAGTCATCTAGAAGAGAGAATGGGCTAGAGAGATGTAGGGTTGCTGGGCAGCACTTAGGGCCTACTTGAATTTGTGATCATGAGTTTAAAGTGAAACCAATCAGCATGATGCTTTATTTTTTCTAGTTGCATTTAGCGGCATGGGTCTAGGCTTGGATTAGGTGGAGAGTTGGATGTTACCGGGATTGGGGTTTTTACCAGATAATTCTGGTGAAGGACCAAGGAAGGAGAAGAAAGCATGTAAAAGGAAATGATTTTAATGACTGATTGGTAAGGAAGGAATCAAGAGGAGTGAGGGACAGGGAAAGGTATAGGACCA